TATATGCTGTGCGACACTGGTGAGGTTAGAGTGGTTCAGATAATGGATTATATGCTGTATGGATATAATTAATAAAGTACGCCTGCCATCTGTTGGCGGAACACAGAATGACACCTCTAGCAATGTGTTTGACCGACGACTCCAGTTTATTAGTACAGTATTAACATGGCTAAATTGGGTAATAATAGCAAAATGATTGCCTCTTCAAAAAGGTTAGGGTTATTTTAGGATAGTGGTATTTTTCACCTCGGTTTTTCGTACTTGATTATGTAACTTCACTCAAGTGTTAATTACTTTGATTACCGGAGACACCAAAAGTCTACAAAGAAAAATAAACATTTCTAGATTCAAAGTTGTTTAATAAATACACAGAAGTATAAAATACACTTATATGGAAACAGAACACGAAAATGCTCCATGTAAAACAAAAAAAGCCCAAAATAAAATGACAGACCACTGTGAACATTTCTAGGTTCAAAGTTGTTTAATATAGACACAGATGTACACAATACACTTGTATGTAAATGGAATACAAAAATACAACAAATAAAAAGCCCAAAATAGACTGACAGACTACAGCATTTTGCTGTTGTGCTCAAGGCAAAACTAATATAAAAAGATTGATTTGCCGCCATTATGTGTGCCAGGAAATTACAGTGTTGCCTTTAAATCCAAAATTAATTCATTCCGCGACCATGCTCATAACTTAAAACAGGATGATTGTATCACATATCAACTAGGGGTAGTATAAAATGGGCATACAGATATTTAGTACTGTATTGAAGGCTCAGCACTTCCCTTGGCCTCTCAGGATGGCAATAATAATAATGATTGTTCTTCACAGAGGATAAAGAATACATGCCTGTGAGTATTATTATATTATCTACCTGCATCGGTTACTGCAACTCTTGTGTTTAGATATTCTTTGCTTGCAGGATAGCAACACTGCCACAAATGCTAACTGAGCCCGTATGCCAATAGAGTTTCCCATTGTATGACAGCATTGAGATACAGCTGTTTTTATGGTTCTTTTAAATCCACAACATGTACTTCCTCTTTGTTTTATATTTAGGTTGACAGTAACCTTGAGCTGAGAGTGACAATGAACAGCTTGAGCCTCTTTTTTGAAGGTTATTTTCTACTACTACTACTACTTTGTCCCTATTTCATGCGAGCAAGGAGAGCAAACACAAAAGTGTGTAAAAGTTTCACTGATTCAATACAACCAGTGAGACTCTGTTTATTACGATACAGTAAGTTTTGCTCTAACTGTCCTCAAAAGCGATCATCCACATTTGTCTTTTGCTTCTTCATTTCTCGCACAGTGCGGAAAGCTCTGATGGCCAACACGGCCCCGAAGATGAAGACAAAGACGCCCAGCACGCCGAAGAGACCCGCGGCGATGTCCGCACCGTGAAACTGGCACTCGAAGCCCTTGTGACCTTTGCTCTTGTACATGCGCTCCCTCTCCTGGCAGATGGGGTTGTTGTAGTTTTCCTGCAGTTTGATAAAGAAGAAGGCCAGAGCAACAATGTAGCCCAAACCAACAAGAAGGTTGATCAGAGTTTCGACCAGGAGCACGGGCGGGTTGCGGTAAGGCACTCGGAAAATTCCCAGGGCGAGCATGGCCAGAGCGTAGATCATGACTATGCCGGCGCACGCCATGGCGAAGGCATACGGAGGCCTCTTGAGCTCATTGAACAATTGGTCTAGCTCCTTCACGCGTTCTGCTTCGGCACCTTGGAAGGCACCGGCTCCGCCAAAGTGATAGTGGTAGATGCCGCCCAGGCTGGCCAGGTCACGATAACCGCCATTGTTGCTGTGAGGCACGCCAGCGCAGATAATAAGCAGAAGATTGACAAACACCTCCATTAGCTGGCAAAGACCTAAAACAAGCGGGAGAAACAAAATATACAAAAAATCAGTGATACAAAACTGCAAAACTGACCTTAGACAGGGAAAAAGGAATGAAATTATGAATTGTATACTGTATAACTTATTTGATAGACTATTGATAGCTTCAGTCCTGCTGCCAATAGAAGAGACAAGAGACAACTTTGAGTAAAGTAGATTAATTTGTTTGCCTCAAATTCTGCATACACCAGGCCATAAAGTCAGGCACTGAGATAATCGCATATTTGCCGATTTTTTTCTGAAATGTTCAAGATTTTTCTTTCTTTCATTCTTTTTTTTTTGTTCTTTAGGGAGGGATTTTCTTAACCATTAGATTTTTTTTCTTTCTTACCGCCAATGCATTTCCATGGCTATCAGTTATACACAGATTTCTGCTCTTCGCGGGGCAGCCCAATCCCCATCCCCCGAATAGCAGGGGTCCACTCTCTTTCATTTTGGAATAAGTCTGTAACTTAAAATGTATAAAGGAATACTTTCTGGATACACCACTATATAATCAAAGCCCAAGCTACAAAATGAAAACACAGCAAGTGGCTACCTCTTTTGCCATCAAACAACACAACTTACCTCGGCTGGTGAGGATGTATCGCAGATTGTAAAGATCTTGTCTGGGTCGTTGTTCATAATTTTCATCGTCAGAGTAATACACTGACGGCTGTCCATACCTGTCAGGAATATAACATCAAAATGAAAAGTGGACTGTGGGAATGCAGCCATCATTTTTTTTTTAAACTGAGCATCCTACCAATTAACCAGGCCAGATAAAATTTGATTTTGCATTAATAGACAATACCAACAACACATACTGTATTACAAAAACAAAGTGCATGTGAGGTGTAGGTGTTATTTCTGTCCACTTGGGGTTACCACCCTCATGTTCTACTTTGTAGTATCTGTGACTTTGAGTGGCTTTAAAAGGTGGTGCCTGGCCTGGTGAGTGACATGGGAGTTAGCGAATGGCAATGTAGATTTGTGACCTCAGGTTAGCGGCTGGCTGTTAGCTGGCTAATGGTTTGCTAGTCTGCATGTTGAGAGCAAGGGTGAGTGAGTGTCATTTGTGGGCCATAGAAGCTCATGTATACGTCTTTCTATTGGTTATTAAAGTGGCTAAAAGTACACTGGCGGTTGTATATATCCTTCACCACTTGCTGGGGTATTACAATATGTCCTAGCTAGCAGTGGTGGCCTGCATTAAATGAGCTCAATATGTTGCCTTGTGTCAACGATTGTATGCTCACTGTTGTGTAGCCATTTATTCAGTAACATTAGTCCATTTGGAAAAATCATCCCAACATAGCTTTGATGCAGAGATCTTGCGCCGACATGTAATCATTTCAGACCTATTGGCCACGGTACGCATCATTTTATGACTTCAACCGTATGCACTGAGTGATGATTGGCCAACTGCTTGACAGTCTATGTGTTACTATATCTGGTTGCTTACAGTGTGGAGGGTCCTTCATGATGGTGGTCTCTGAAAGCAGGTTGAGGTGCACTTGTCACGTCCCTCTGTTTAGGCCTCCTGTCACCAGCAGAGCCTCTCTCGCCAGCGACTCTGGGTTTTTCTTTGTGATCTCTGCTGTCATACTTATCAATCTGCTCTGCCCTGTGAGAGGAATCCTTGTCCTTGCTCTTGTAATCTGCGTATGCATCACCCCTAGGTTGGTATCTGCCCCTCTCTGGCATCTTCAATTGAGAACATACAGTACATTCTAATGCATAAACTGTAGACTGATTTCATAAATAGCAACAGCTGTCTGACAATATTAGGTACACATGCACATTAAGACAATAGCTGCATTAATAAATCAGCCTTAAGAAAAACTGATTTTTCAGCAAGAATTCCATATCCTTAATACCCATGTCAGTTTTTTTGCCCTTACAAGTAAAACAATTAAGTGTAATGGGATGAAACCTGTCTTATTAACAATGTTTTTTTTTTCCACTATCAGTGCCACTTTGGCCGACTAGTATGCAATTAAACCTTACTGGTAAACGGATGTGCTGCACTAGTATTACTATTCGGACCATACTGGTAGAACCAGAATGCCCACTAGTAACCCCGTAAGGCAAAACAAAAAACAAAACAAAACTGCGCATTAGTAGGCTGATGTGTGCTACTTGTTATACCAGCGGTCCCCAAACTTTTTCCTGTGAGGGCCGCATAAGCTTTGCTTCTGTGATGGGGGGG